TTATTAAATAAAGACTCTTAATTATAAATATTATCTTAGTTTATTAGTCTTTTAAGTTAAGACTATAATCTTTAATAATAATATTAAATAATACTTAAATAATAACTAATATAATAATCTACTATATAAACCCCTTAAAAAAGTCTAATTTATAAATAAAATAATATTTAATAAGTATTACTAGGCTATTATTTTAAGCCTAATTATCTTTATTCTTACTAAAATAATATTATAGTAATTTACTTTTATAATCTTATTTACTTTTAGATTATATTTTAAGATTATTATATATTTATAGTTTTTATTATATAATATATTAAAAAGCTCTTTTTTAAATTTAAATCTACTATTAACTATTATTTTAATAAAAACCTTATATTAACTTAGTAGTTTTTTAATAAATTTAAATATAATAGTAATATTATAGCTTTTTATAGTTATTACCTTAACCTAGCTAATAAGGTTATATCTAGCTTTTATAAGGAACTTATATTTTTAATTATTAGGTATATATTATAAGTTAAAATAAATTTTTTTTATTAGCTTTATAGGTTTTATAAACTATATTTTTTCTATTTCTTATATAATAACTTACTTTTAATATAGTTTATAAGTATAAATTATATTTTATATATTTTTATTTATTCCTAGTTAGTAATAGTAAGCTTTTAACTATTTACTAAAAATCTTAAATTTTTAATATTTAAAAGATTTATAAACTTTTTAAATAAGTATTTTTTTAATATTAAAATTATTAATTAGTAATAATAGTTTTAGTTACTTCTTAACTCTTTTATATAAATACTTATCTTATAAAATATACTAATTTATATTATTTTAAAATTATTATTATTAATTAGTAATTAAACTCTTTAGGTACTAAGTAAATATTAAAAAGTTTATTATAATAAAGCTTTTATTATTATAGCCTTTTTTAAGGAGTAGAGGTTTATTATATATTAGGTTTAGTACTAAGTTAATAAACTCCTCTAAATTACCTTTATACTTAATCTTAAAAATATTTAATAGTCCTAAAGACTTCTTTAATAAAGTATTTATAATAAAATTCTTATTTTTAAATATATATAATATTATAAAGTTAAAAAACCTAATATAACTTAATTATTTTATAATTAGAAAACTAATAATATTATTAACTTTATTATTAATTTATTACTTTAAAACTAATATATTAGTTTTAAAAAAGAAATAAGTATTATAAATATATTTATATAGTTAATATATTATATATAATAATTTTTAATACTTATACTTTATTTAATTATATTTTAACTTTATTATTATCTAATTACTATTTTTAAATCTTATTAAATATCTCTTCTTATTTACTATCTATATTAAAATAACCCCTTATTTAAATAAAGAAAAGTTTATTTAAAGGATAATTAGTCTTACTTTTAGTTTAAAACTTAAAATAATTAGGATTAGGGCTATAGTAAGTATTTTCTTTAAGACTTTTATTACTTTATTTTATTCTCCTTTTTACCTAAAAACTAACTCTTTTTTTAGTAATCTTATTAAAGGCTTAGTAACTATTGAATAGCTATTAATTATAGGTTTATAACTAGCTATTATATTTAAAAAAGCTATATATTTTTTTTAAAGTTTTAATACCCTTTTTACTTAAGAATTTTTAATATTTTATACTTAATAAAGTTATAATTAAAAGTATTATAAAAGAACTTTATAATTACTACTCTTTTTTAATACTAATAACTCTTTTTTTTAAATATTATATAATTTATAAGCTTAATATTTACTAATACCCTATCTAGGTTCTAAATATATTTTACTATATAATACCTAATATTAAATAAAACTTTTTTATTATTATATATATTATTAGATTTTCTTATAATAATATTATTTAGATATAAATAATAGATATTAGGTATAAGTTCTATTAATATTTTTATTACAATATATATAAATTATATAATAAAATTAGTAATACCTTAAGGTAAAGTATATATTCTAAATAAGCTAATTAAACTAAAGAAGGTTATTAAATCTTAGTTTTTAATTATAAAAAGTACCTAATTATAACTAAAGAAGAAGTCTAGTAGTAATAAGATCTTATATATAATAAAATCTTCTACTATCTCTTTATAAATAAATAAAATATTTATATCTTAAACTAATATTATATTAATTTTTATTATAAAGTTAATTAGTCTTAGGCCTTTATTTAGTTTTATAACTAAAAATATTAAGTTTTTATAAGAACTATAACTTTCTTCTAAAATACTAGTTTTAAGTCTTATCTTTAAGAACTAAATAAACTTTAGTAAAATCTTCTTTAAAATTAAAATTAATTTTATATACTAAGGTTTATAATTAATAACCTTTAGTTCTTATAATAGTATTATATTTAAGTTAAGTTAATTATTCTTTTTAAATATCTAAGCTAAAATAGCTTTTTAATTATAAAGTATAATAAAGAATATCTCCCTTTCTTATATTATTAAGTTAAAAATCTACTCTTTTATACTAAGTAGTTAGTCTTTATATAATTAACTACTTTTTTTAATCTTTAAAAATTTACTTATTAAAAAATTAATATAATATTTTATTCCTTTTATTTTACCTTTTATTAGTTTTTACTTCTTCTCCCTTTACTTTAGATTACCTTCTAGTATAAAGTTATTAAAAATATCTAGTAATTTAATCTTTACCCCTTTTCTCTTATATAAAATAAAGATTTTTAACTCTTTATATAATTACTTTTATAAATTTATAATTACTTTTTTATCTTTATTATTATAATTCTTTATAATTATATAATATAAAGTATCTTTAATAACCTCTTTATCTTCCTCTCTTAGTTAAAAGATTATATCTTTTTCCTTAACTTTTCCTTATAATACTAGTTCTTACTTTATAAACTCCTAATTAATAATTAAAGTTTATATTTAAAATTAAGCTTTTTTATTATTAAATAGCTTATTAATAACTTTTTATATAATTAGTCTAGTTACTAGGATTATTATCTTAATATTA